TTATTCTTTTTATGTTTTTGTTTTTCTCTTAAATTTTACCTTATTGGGAGAGTTGCAGGGGAGTAGGATGGATGCAAAAGGACGAATAAATGAATGGGATCAAGATACATGATGGAAAAGACACATAGAATAAATAAATAACAACTAGAGATGGCTGTACTCTCCTGGTCACTGCCGTGTTATTTATAATAGCCAAAATATGGAATAAGCCCTAGAGGTTGTCAATGGGTGCTTGAATAAATGATACATTACACACAAGAATATCATTCACTTTCTAACAAAAAGAAAAAGATAGTCTGCCATTTGTACAATGGGAAAGAACCTGGGAGCTATTAAATGAAATAATCCAGGTATAGAACTCCATATACCGTGTGATTCCTCTTGCACAGAGAATGTAAAATAGCCCCAGAAACAGAGAGTGGGGTGGGCGTTACCAGCGATGGGTGGTCAGGTAGCTTGTGGTGCTGTTGGTCAGAGGATACACAATTTTACTAGGCAGAAGGATCTGTTTCAGAAGCATTGTGCAACATGGCGACTACAGTAACTGACAGTGGACAGCTGGTCCCTGATTTAACTGAACTATTTTCTTTACTTCACAATGTTATAAGAACTGCATATACCACATGCTTGAAAAATACTAAGAGAGTAGGTTTTAAATGTTTTCGTGCCAGATAACTGTGTGCTGAGTAATACATTTGTAATTGGCTTGAACCTAGTCATCCACAACATGTACATATTTTAAAACATCATGTTGTATACCATAGATAATTACCATTTTTATTTTTCAATTAAAAGTAAATATTTGGATAAAAGATAAAATGAATACTTAAATAAACAAATCCATTATGTTCTCAGAATGGGCTCAGAGGAGGAAAGCAAGAGCAGAGGGCAAATATTTCCTCCTTTGCTGCTCTTCCTGCCTTGGATGCAGTTATGTAATAGTAATTCCTGGGTGTGACCGTGCCACGGCCCTGAGCCAACCAGACCAAGGAAAATAATGTCTCTTCCTGGACTTCACAAGACAAGAAGTTGTAAGGATTCTCATGATTTAATGATGTCACCGAGTTACTGTACAGTTCCTGGCATCTTTGCCTCCAAGATTCTTTACCTGTAAGATACATGTTCTCCGGGTGCCCTTGTTCACTTTCTGCTCCTGTAATAAAATACTCACCAAAACCAATGTGGAGGAAAAGGAGGTTCATAGCCTCTTAGAGTTCACAGTATATCCCTGAGAGAGCTCAGGACAGAAACTCAAGTAGGAAATGAAGCAGAAATCATGAAGGAACATTGCTTACTGGCTTTCTCCTAGGCTCATATTCAGTGACTGTTCCTATACAGTCCAGGTCCACTTGTTTAGGGATGGTACCACGCATAATAGGTGAGAACATGTTTGCCCACAAGACAATCTGATAGAGGCAACTCTTCATCTGAGAGTACCCTTCCCCAGGTGTGTCAAGTTGACAACCAAGGTTAATCAGGACCAAGGGCCAAAGGCACATGGTTTGAGTCTCATACTTCAAAGAGACCCTTTCAGTCTCATTAAGACAGACCGTATGTCATTTATTTATATTTTAAAACACATAATCATGTTACATTCATTTAATAAAGCATACATATGCAGTTTAGAAAACACACATGCTGTTAAAGTACATCAGCACATATAAATGGATGTATGTCGGCCATGCTACAGCAGTTTTTCTAAGTGGGAGCAGGGATTAGAAGAGACAGTAGAACAAAGATGGACTTCTTCTGTACTTACAATGGGACATTTATTTATTTCCTTTTTAAGAAGTCATGAAGCAAATATACCATATGTTAAAATCTCATCAGGGTTGTGATGATTCACATTCTCCATCCTGCTCTTCCTCTGCTTGAAATGTGTAAAGGTTATAAAAATGTATTACTAATTTTAAAATTAACTCAAGCGAGAGATGGTAAGATATTATCCCAAATTCAGAAAATTTTGAGATTCTCCTGCACAAGGCCTTGAACCCACTCACCCATCTCCTTCTCCATTTCTCCCCCTTCCTCTTGACCTGGAAGTGGGGGGAGTGGGTATAGACAGATAAAAGCCAGACAGAACCATCTGGCAATATCACTGGCAACCTTGTCCTAATCACCTCCATGAGGGAATTTTTGTGCTAACTATAAGCCTTCCTGTTATCAAAAGAAATGCTAGAAGCCACAAATATTCCTTCTTTCTGGACCACCATTCCCCTAACCAGTGTCTAAATGCTTGATTTAACTATGCAAAAACACTACTAATTATATTCATTTGTGTGACTGACTTACCATTTGAATCTAATTGCCATGCAGCAAAATAACTGTTAAAGCATATCATTAAACTACTTGAATAATTAGAGAGAAATTTTCTTGTGCTCTTAGTTTGAGCCTAAGATTTAGGGCAGAGACCTCACCCCCTACCTTTTGTAAGTTCTTAAATTAGCTGGAAGGATAGCGCGTAGAAACCCTGGCAGGCCAGCCATCTTATCGGCAATCTGGTTCTGCTAACCAGCAGAGACTTCAAGGAACAGTCTATTATTCACTGTCTTCGTTTGGTTTGCTATAACAAATTACTTCAGACTATGTGGCTCATACAACAAGCATTCATTTCTCACAGTATTGAAGGCTGGAGGTCCAAAATCTGGTGCCAGCATGGTTAGCACTTTCATGATCTGATCCATGGCCCTCTTCCAGGTTACTAACTGCCAGCTTCTCTTTGTATACTCACAGGGCAGAAAAGGAGCAAGCCACTTTGCTGGCTTCTTCATTTAAGAGTACTAGTCTCATTCATTAGGGCTCCGCTAGCGTGAACTAAATGGCTGGCTCACAGAGACGGCACCTTTACACGTTGTCATCCTGGGATTGGAATTCGTTCTAGGAATTTTAGGGAGACTCAGACATGGAAGGCGAAAGTGTAGCTTTCAACAGCCTCGCTCTTCCTGGAAGACATTTCCCCTCTGCTTTATCCAGCTGTTTTCTTCAGGGACTCCCTCACAGAACCTTCCACGCCTAGCCAGTAGATCTGCTTTTCTTATTCATTGCTCCCAAGTCTCTTATTCTCCTTGTGCTCTCCCCTGAAAGCTTACCTCCCAATAGTCTTCCCCTTCCACTCCCGGCACCCACTCCGCACCTGTCTCCTGCTCTTGGAAGTCACACTCATTGATAAACTTGCTCCTTAGCATTTAACCTTGCTTCCTCACCCTGCCCTGCATGTTTGTTCCTTCACGAACTTGACTCTGTGAGGTCCATGCATCTTCCAGGTGCTCTCTTCTGGTTACCAGCTCAAGAAGGACAGCACTAGGGAAAGGGCGACCTCGCAGAAAGCAGAACTGCCTCCCCATTTAGTAAGGATACTTACATGACCTTTTGTTATTGTTAAGCCCCAATGTTTTCAAGTCAGATATCCGTGCCAAATTCTTTCAACTAGATCAGTTGCCAGTGCCTCTAACCCTTAGCCATCACAACACTTTTGTCTCCTGTGGTCTCTTCAGGCTCTTCTGCCCCTTCATCCCCTCTACTACCCATTCCATAGAGTTCTCAAATCGTCACCTTCAAACTCTTTGACATTTGATGTTTCTGGCTCCAAACACTAGAGAGAAGGCCATAAAAAAGATGAATGCAGTTCCCACCTATGGAGCTCCAGAATCCAGATAGGTGATGAGACAGAAATGGAGAGAGAGAGAGAGAGAGAGAGAGAGAGAGAGAGAGAGAGCGCACTAATTCTGTTGGCACAGAAAAGGTTCTTGAGTCAGGACCTGGAAGGTGAGCATCTATAAGCCATGCGGAAAGGTAGGCACAAAGCACAGAAGACACTAGCGCTGCCTGCAGCCCAATTTCCCCCAAATCTTAACAACGTTTTACAATCATCCTACATTTACTCCACCTTGAATCTATAGCTAGATTCCTATTATTTTTATAATATTCATTATAACAAAAAACTTTCAAATAAGAATAAGAAAATAGCATCCCTCGCAGTACTGATTTCGTTTTTCATGTTCTTCCTCCTTCTGCTCCTCATTTGGACCTCGGGGGGCTCAGTCCGGTGCTCCAATGTGGGTCTCCGACTTTATCGCCGTCCTTCGCCAGATGAAGGATCTATGGTGATAAGCAAAATATACATCAGTATGGTTATGGGCCACGGCCGATTCAGGCACCCTCTCCTCTGTCCAGAGAACAATCTGGGGGATCTCTCCTTGGACCTGGGATCCCATATATAATCAAGTCTCCTGTAAACCCTAAAATGACTCCCTTAGTTGAAATATATTCTTCCCTGATCCCATATTCATCCTTCCTCCCTCCCCCCTCCCCCATCCCAGGATGCTATCACCCACTGATACAAGGAAACGGATCTAATGAGAGTTTACCAAGGCCAGTTGGACTGGGTCTGAAGGAGGACGTGATCTAACCAGATTCTCGGAATTTGGCCGGATTCTCTGAATGTGGCTGGCCCGAAGTCTTTCTGAAAAGCCATTGACTATGATACTGGGACCTGTTTCCTCTGCATATTCTGGATTTTGGGGATCCAGTCTGTTTGGATACTCACCTTCCTGGACCTGGAGGGAGGGGGGAGGAACTTGAACTTCCCACAGGGCAGGAAACCCTGACTGCCCTAAGGGACGAAGAGGGAGGAGGAGAGGGAGTGGGGGGAGTGGGAGGGTGTTGGGAAGAGGGGCGGAAATGGAAACTTTTATAATTTAATAAAATTTACTTTCAAAACAAAAAAAAACAAAAAAAGAATAAGAAAATAGAAAAATGTCACCAAAGAAGTCATCTATGTCCTACCTTCATAACCAAAACCAATTATTTTTCATGTTTAACCTAATTCCATCTATTTCTTTATAAATGTGTGTGCATGTATGTGTAAAATATATATGTGTAATATATGTACAGACAGTGATAAACTGTTCGCTGGTCATTCTCCTTGATAGGGCCACTCTGGGGTAGTTCTGTTTGCTCAGCTCATGCTGCAATTATGACGTCTGCACAAAACAAGGAGAGACTCCAAGCTGATAAAATGTATATGCGGTATTCACAGGTGCAAACGCTGAGCCCCAGAGCCGGGCAGCAGTGAGAGCAAGCAGTAGGGAAGCAGGAAAGGCAGGTGAGTACTCACTTTTCCTTCTCATTCTGAGGTCTTTGTAAGGCACTTCTAAGCCTTTGGGGGCAGGAGAGGAACGATCGAAGCAAAGCGAGGCAGGATGTGTTGTAGAGCAAATTCTCTGGAATTCCTTCCAGAGATAGTTAGCTCAGTAACCTAGGACAGACCAGAGCCTGTAGCAGGGCACACTGGTCCCCTACTTCTATGCTTTTCGATGGAGCTTCTGTCCTGATTCTGTTCTATTTTCAAATTCCCCAAGGGTTTGTAATTCTTGAGGGGGTGGTTTTAAAGGAAGGGTTTGAATACTGCATTGACCTCCCTGAGGCTTACCTCCAAACAGGAGAAAAAACTGGAGGAAGAATGGAGGTGGGTTGTGGGTAGGAGGGCAGTGTACAAGTCAGTCACGCACTCAGTACTTGCGTTCCCTACTAGGATTTTGTTCTTGTACATATCTCTCCTTTAGAAGCCCCAGGTCCTTTTTAAGTAAACAGCTTGACAAACTAGTAACGTCAAAACGACTGGTAAGGGAGAGGATTGTAGTTTTCCTAACCATTAAGGCTGTCTGTCTTTGTTTTGTGTTTCCACTGGTGGCTCTGCATCTCCAAAGCTCTGGGATCTGCTGCAGCCCTCAGAAAGAGAAAGGGACAAAATTATAGCTAAACAGGTGAGTTCCAGGAGCCATGTCAGGGTTTCCGCATAATGGTGATAAGTACACGGAGATACAGAAACCGGAGGAGAATCGGGAAGAGAAGATGGCGGCCGCCGGGAAAATGGAACAGTTTGCTCGTTTCCTCGGAGAAAAATGATGGGGCACGTTGTGTTTTAACTCTTACGATTTACAAACACTGTGCAGGCATTATGGTTTTCCAAACACCAATAGTGGCCGGAAGAGTGAATAAGGGATGAATTTGGGGACTGGAGACAGCACCTGTAAGTTTGCCACCTCCCTCACCTTCTCCCCTCCTCACCCTAGGATGAAATGATCTGGGACAAACTAATTGAGAAAACTAGTAGCGCATGCCTTCGGGAGGTTTTATTAATGGAACCAGACACACTGCTCTAACAGAATGTACGACTGCTCTTTTACATTGATCTAATTAGAGCATTTACATACCGAATGCCTCCTGGACAATTCCCTACCAATGACACTAACTGTGTGCACCAGACAATTGAACAAAGAAGTCATCGGGTCTCCGTTTTCTCTAAGAAAAATAACATTGTCAAGGTTATTAACAGTCAATAAGCTGTCATGGGCTCAGCAAGGGTTTGGGATCCCCTGTACTTACAGAAGATGGGGAAACAGAAGGTTCCTCAAACCATGGTGAGGACTGAGCCCTAACGGTTCTCGAAGCTTAAACAGAGTGGGAGGAGGAAGGGTCACCATGCTCTTCAGCTCGTCTGAGAGCAAAGTGCATAATTCCAGGAGATATAACGATTGTTATCTCATGAGTTTGTAGCGTTTTATAATGGCATAAGGTGTTTTTGGCTCTCTTCTCATTCCCAATTCTATAAAATCAATAATCGGTTTAGAGAAGCAGGAAATACGCTAAGGGCAAAGTCACATGTTGGAGTAGAGACAGAGAAAGTTCAGAGGCCGGGAATATGCTGTTTGCTCCATTGCTGATTTATATGTACGTGTGAAAAGGAATGTTTCCCATGCTTAACTTCTCCCCATTTCCTGACACATGCCCTCTAGCATCCCTGAGCCCAGGCCCACCTTCAAAAACCTTTAAAATATTGTTGTCCAAAATTTCTAAGAAGTAGAAGATAAAACATCTGTAACAATTAGGATGTCATGGATATTTTGAACATACTAAATGTGTGGTGGTTCACAATACAGTCATCAGAAAGGGGATCTGAAAATACAGGTATTGTCGAAGACTCCGCCTAAAAGAGAAATTAAAAGTGAAAGCTGCTATTTAGCCGCTATTCTAAATGGAACTGTCCTATGTCCTAGCTTTAGACAAGATTTCAAGGTTCTATAGGTTTGGAAATAAAACGATATAGGTGTACATAATAGCTCCTGTGCTTAGAAAGGGAAATGACTTGACGTTTTTCCCTCTTTCTCCATTCTATCTTATTCTCTTCTTTACTCTTCATCTCTGCTCTCCAAGACAGGGAGCCAACCCACATGCAATCAAATTAGGATTCTCCAAGAGTGACTGAAGGGCAGCCTCTACTTTCTAAATAAACAGCAACATGTTCTGCTGAGCAAACAAAGCCACTCACGATTCACAGAAGAGATCACAAATGAGCAAGGTACTTCTCCAGTCAAAGAAAAAATTCACATGCAAAGTACATTGAGTTCTGGAGCTGTACTAAAGAGATGGAAGACCTGATCCAAACAAGGTTGTTTATATTGTTGACGAACAGCTGAATGAACACAGACACTGACAGTGATGAGCATTTTATGGCTAGATGATGCTCTCAGTGTTAGAGAAACAGATCGTTCAAACACAAGCCAGGCATTTTACACAGAAGTTGTACATCCCAGATGCTCTCATTTTTATTCTGGAATGTTCCACCAGTGGCCCAATAACTACACTGTTGCTTATACACTGCAAGCCAGACATATGTGTTCCTTTATGAGACCTCTAGGCCTTGTCCGAGGCACAGTCAGCTGGCCTACAGCCTAATGATGCTGCTGTCGATGCCCCATGTTATTGGTTTCTCCAGCTTTGTTCGTGTTCAAAGACACACACTCCTCCTCCTTTCAAACCGGAGAGAACCAACAGCCATAGAGGAGAATACATTTTAGGTTCTTGGCTGCCGAAACAAATCCTACACAGTGACAGCACTAGATGACCTGAAAACATGGATCAGGGAATTCTCACAAAGCCCAACCCCAACAAAAAGGGTGTAGGCAATATATGGCTGTTGAGAAAGAAACAGTCTTCTCCAGGGACAAGTTCCTGACAGGTTATCCAATTCCAAGCAGTCAACCCTAAACACATATTCTTGAAAGCAACACGAAAAGGACTCAGCTGTCTGTATTTATATATTCAAATATATATATATATATATATATATATATATATATATATATACATATTTAAAGAAGAGATTGTGAATTTGAAAAGGAGTTGGGCTGAACACAAGGGGAATTGGAGAGGAGAGAGAGAGAGGGGTAGAAATGATCTGAATACAGTACTCATATATGAAATTCTCCAACTTTTTTTACCTATTCATATTTTTAACTAAGTGTCTATCTTTCTATTTATCAATAAAGACTCAGGTGTCAAATGTTGGGATGAATACCTGTAGTTCAGAGAGGCTCAGCAGCTAACATCTGACCTTTCTTTAAGGCCAGAGACCCACCAAGAGAGTCCCTTTCCAGCCATGCCCAACCAAAACCACTGCAAAACTCTGAGTCCCTTCCTACTCCTTCTGTGTGTCTCTCTATTCATATCCCTGGCTCCTCCATACTCTGTAAAGCTGATTCCTATCAGCTAGTTTCTGGCTCTGCTAGTTTCTTGGAACCTCCTGATCCAAGGTTCATTTGATTAACACAGTCTCAGGTCTTCACGGTGCATCCAAATATCCCACAACATATTTAATGTTTTTAAATTTGACTAAAACAATTGTTCTATTATTTATGTTTATGACATTACCAAAAAAGTATAGAAAACTTGATCTTTTAAGGCTGATACTCCTATTGAAGGAATGTCAACAAATCAATGAAGTGTAAATTAAATTTAATTCAATCTACATTTAAAGGTAATATGAGGGGCTGGAGAGATATCTCAGCAATTGAGAACATTGGCTGTTCCTCCAGAAGATGCTGGTTCAATTCCCAGCACTCACATGACAGCTCACAACTGTCTGTAACTCCAGTTCCAGGGAATCCAACACCCTCACACAGATATTAAATACAGACAAAACACTAATGCACGTAAAAATAAATAAATAAATAAAAGGAATCATTAAAAAAAATTAAGGATAGTATGAGATAATAATTAAAAATATCTCTTTTCCCTGGATCTAGTCCAAAATAGTGCCTTGATTCCTATAAAACATCATGGTTTGAATTAAAGAGATTCTTTGGTCATTCATTGGCTTCTGGAATTTTCTAAATAATGCCTATCTCTTCACATAGCAGACTGTTGTGGCATTTCACTTTTATTTTAATAAATAAAACTTGCCTGAAGATCAGAAAGTAAAATATTCTTACTGTAAAGTAAAAGAGTCTCAGTAACCACCCTAGTTGCTATAGAAACCGGGTGCCGTATACCTTTAATTCCAGTGGTGCACACCTTTAATCCCGGAACTAGAGAGAATAATAAAATGGAAGAGACAGCTCTCAGTCTCAGTCTGAGATTCTTGGAGGCAGGATTACCATTTTCAGACTGAGGTTGAGGTAAGAGCCAGTGACTGACTGTTTTGCTTTCCTGACCTTCGGATTGAACCCCAATTTCAGTCTCTGAGTTTTTATTAATCATACTTCAGCAGACTATTATACAACAGAGCTAATCACTGCACTTGACAAATTTCTGGTGGATTCTCTCTTGGGCTGAGCATTGCTTGGTGGTTCACTCCATAGACCTGATCTTTCCCCTACTCTTTATCCTTGATGCAGACCCTGCTAAGACTCTGTCACATTCTTTAATCCTTACCCTCCTTTGCCCCCTAAGTCTTTGCCATGGTTGTCCACTGGAACTTAGTGCACATTAGCAATAAAAGTGCTCAAGTACAAAATGGATCCTCCAGCTGCCTGAGCCCTCTGCACCACTGACTAGTAATTCATGGGATGTACCATATTGTGCAAGGACACACTGTTCAGTATCCCAGCAGAGTCAAGAGCAAAAACAGAAAAAGAGTGGAACAAATGCATCTCTATCTTCTGTTTTAATCTCAACCTAGCAAATTTCCCTCCCCACTCCTCTCAGATGCTTGAGGACTCAAAATGAAAATAACAAGATACAATTCTGAAAACCCTTCTCTCATGGCCCACACATCATCTCCTCACTAAACCCAAAATCTGGGGTTCTGTTTGTTTTCTGCCTAACTGAATAGAATATTAAGTTATTCTTTTATGCCTTTGTTTTCCAACCCAAAATTGTTTCATCTTTTCCCTCTTAACTGGGCCCAATACTAGCAGAGGGATAATGGTTTCTTACTAAGCACACCTAAAATAGGAAATTTTCTACTTCTGGCGAGACTTGGGGGTATCTCAAATGCAGAGAAGAAAGAGGGAGAATCCTTTCATGGCAGAGTACTGACCAGACGTGGCTTTCCCATTGAAATGCTGTGGAGCATTTGTCTCAGGATCTTACCACACATAATCTTCCTGTCCTAAGGCTCTTGAGGACGGCATCAGCAGCACCTTTCGGCCTCTCTCCTACCTACCCATACCCATCTGCTATATCCAATTAGTGGACATCGTGTCCTGAACGGGCTGATACAAAATCCTACCCTGTTTTCATAACCTGTTTATTTTAGAAGTTGTTTTCATAGTTTTAAGGACAATGTGAATACATTACTTTTTATCGTTCCCTTTGGTCTTTTGAAGTTTGATTTGTTTGTTGTCTTGTGCTTGACTTGGATAGTCCAAGAACTTCATAAATGGTGGGGGAAAGGGAAGGCCATGCAAACTCATTTTATGGTTACTAATAATAATACCTTTTTCAAAAGGAGAAGTTATCTTGAGTGTTTGACCAATTTAAAAGAAAAAAAATCATATAACTGAGGTAAGTAGAGAATATCTTCAACATTAAGTAAACTAAAAATATTAAATTCTTGCATTAATTCATTTTTCTTTTTCCTCAGATAGCAAGTGAACTAATCTTCCAAACAAAAGGATAATGTAAACACATTTTTATTCTTATAAGAAGGAATAACTGAACTCTTTATCACTGGTCCACTTCAGAGCTTGAATCTGAATTAGCCAGAATCAAACTATCCTTGTCTTGGGAGAAAAATATGAAGCCTTTCCCATTTTGTGCCAATAAGAAAAAGCAGAGGTTTTTTTTTCTCTGTAAGAGTGCCCTGAATTACCATCACCAGCATTCAGCTGTAACTTCCACCGATGTATTTAAATAAATAAGCCATTGCAAATGTGTTATTAGTACCATAATTCTGCTAAGATTATAAATCTATTTTGTGCTTTCTTTAAATTGCTCTTCATGATTATCCTTCTTATACACACAATGGTCGAGCCTACCCTCCCCACAGAGGCTATCAATGCGTCTTACTTCTGGAAGACAACATGTGGACAGAGTTCTACTCTGCAGGTCCTCAGTGTTGGACGGACACACTTGACCAGAAAAGGTTGTATCATACCCAAGCATAACATACTGCCCCAGAAGCAGAAGTTAGTACACCATGAATGAGGCCAGCATCTCCGCCATGTGACAGCTATTGGATTTTTCCTTACAAGTAACCCATGCTTTAGGGAACCCTGTTGATTAACATAATAGATGTAAACTGTAACAAATTCTTGCTGGTTTTTGCTTTCTATTGTTAATTAGACCATAAACAGTCACCAGTATCTTACATACCCTACTCAGTACAATTGCTTAGAAGCAGATTTCCTAATGGCTCAAAAAAAAATGCACACCTTCCATTTGTCAAATCACAAATCACATGCAAGAAATGCACTCCCAAATAAGAGTCCTTCCTTTCTCTAGCAGCAAAGCTTACTGATTATGAAGGTCTGGTAAATATTTAATCTACTTACTTTTCTGTCACAGAAGTTGCAATATATAAATTTCTGCATAAGCCAATCCCAGAAAATAAATACTAAAATAATGTTAAGAATTCAATAATAATATAATTTTTAAATCATTAAAGATTTCATAATTAAACCTTATATTCATGGTAAGTTTTGTATAATTCCAGCCCAAAATCTATCCAACCATAAAAAAATCACTTTGAACTAATATGAAAGGAAATTAGACGCACTATAATGTATAGACCAAATCAGCTAAGTTTAAAATATAATGGCATATATAAATGTATGTATTATAAATATAAATGAAACAGATCGTGGAATAGTCAAAAAGTGACAGCTGCTTTAATTCATAGGAGTTTAGACTTCCAGCCCCTCTGGAAATTATGAAATGAGGAATAACAAAAAAAACTACCCCCCATTATTATCCAAGCACAAGTGGTGTAAGATCATTTATCTTGATGTATGTCACCTTAGAGCACATATTATCCCTATCTCTCAAAGTGTTTTTTCCCCTTATTTCATCTCTGACATTCATTGTAAATTTAATGATCCACATACGATTTGCTGGTGTCTCAGTCTGGTGTTTTGAATCATGAAACTAGAGCTAAATTTATGGTGCTGCGGTACCACTTAGTGAGCCATTAAGCAGCACAGTGATTTTAATGATTTGGATCATACTGGACCTCGTCACTAGATAATGAGCTTCCATTTAGTGTAAATTTTATGTAAAAATTCAATTTGCAAACCAACAACATGAAACTACAACATTTTTTCTAACTTGACATTGTATTTATTTATCTCATGTTTCTGTGGGGTTCCATGGTTAAGAAGCAAATTAATAGAATAACACCTTTTGACTTTGCCAGCATTACGATCAAATGACACAGAGAAGGAAAGTGTCTAGGAATACCTACACTGCTTTAAACTCTGTCATTGTAGAGTTGACAAAACACAAAACTTTCAGAACCAAAAACTGCTATGTGTGCTATGTATCTTAGATGTGTGTGCTCATTTTACTTTATACAAGCTAGATGGCTTTATATGACCCTTTGTTATACAGACAGATTACAAATATGAAAAAGAAATGATTATAGTGTGTCTCATTTGCCTTTTCCACTTGACAAAAAAAGTCTGTAGCCTTCAATAATTATGCTTTCTCTTAGAAAAAGATAAAGTTTAACATTCTAAATGATATTATATTAAAATGTCAACTATAGTTCAGCTATGCCAAATCAGATTCCTCAAAAATAACACTTTGGCCTCAAAGCATTGATCATATTAACAACATGGCATTAAGCCTTACAACTGAAATTAGTTTTATAAGCAACTAAACTGAATGGATTATTCATGATAACTTTATTAATTCCCAAAAAAGGAAACTAAGGATTCAAGGAGTTACATATATAGATCCAGGATATATTATAGGATATATATAATGAATTTATATTATATATGTTATATATATTCACAGCTGTTGTATGGATGTTGAGAATAAAATAACATGCCCCTGGATTCCAGTCATTCTTCCTTGAAATGCCCTATTAATTGAAGTGAAACATGGCAGTGCATTTTCATATCTGCAGAGCAAATTTCTGATTCCATAGTTTTATATTTCTCTACATCATCACTGAGCTGATTTTGTTCTGTATTAAATGATCGCTTACAAACAAGCTTCAAGCAAGATCGGCAATAAGTTCACATGAAACTGTGCTGGATTTGGGGTAGCAAAAACAGTATTTAAAAGTTCTTCCTTGACCTAAGCAAACATAATTCAAGGAACTAAATCACAGGAAATATAGATGTTTTCCTTGTTTAGTCTAACTAAAGTTTAAAAAAAATGTGCAAGCAATTTTAGATTCCTCTGTTGAGAGTTCTCTGTTTCGGTCTGTACTCCATTTTTTATTGGATTATTTGTTCTTTTGGTGACCAATATCTTGAGTTCTTTGTATATTTTGGAGATCAGACCTCTGTCTGATGTGGGGGAGGTGAAGATCTTTTCCCATTCTGTAGGCTGTCATTTTGTCTTGTTGACTGCATCCTTTGCTTTATGTTCAATCATGCCACAAGGACATTTGCTCAACTATGTTCATAGCAGCTTTGTTTGTCATAGCCAGAACCTGGAAACAACCTAAATGCCCCTCAACTGAAGAATGGATAAGGAAACTGTGGTACATTTACACAATGGAGTACTACACAGTAGAAAAAAATAACGGCATCTTGAATTTTGCATGAAAATGGATTGAGCTAGAAAACATCATATTGAGTGAGGTAACCAAGATACAGAAAGACAATTATCACATGTACTCACTCATAAGTGGTTTTTAAACATAAAGCAAAGAAAACCAGCCTACAAATCACAATCCCAGAAAACCGAGATAACAATGAGGACCCTAAGAGAGACACATACATGGATCTAATCTACATGGGAAGTAGAAAAACACAAGATCTCCTGAGTAAATTGGGATCATGGGGACCTTGGGAGAGGGTTGAATTGGAGGGGAGAGGTAGGAAGAGGAGCAGAGAAAAATGTAGAGCTCAATAAAAATAAAAAATTAAAAATAAATTTTTATTCTTCCCCACACTCCCAGACCCCATTTTCTTCTTCCCTCTTTAGGGTATCCCAGGGATCTTCCGCAATAAAATGGTGAAGAGTGCTTCTGGTCAGTGACCAAATATTCATTTTTTTCCTATTGTCTCAGCCTTACTGCTGTCTGACCTGGATGCAAGTGATGCATACTCAATTCTGGGGAACAGGGCTTCCTGCAGCCAGAAATTCAAAAGCACAGCTCCAAAGAGGGCTATGATACTCCCCAAGTCCTGACTCTATCTCATCAATGGGCCAAATGTGGTATATTCTTACTCGGTGCTAAGGCCTTAACTTCCCTAGGCCGGATGCTCCCACTTCCTTTCTCCTGTCTTTAAGTCACTTTATATTTCCTGGTCTCCTGTGATTCCAATAGCATCTCCAGAGAACTCTTTTTGCCTTACAAAATCTAAAACCAGAACTGACTGTATTGGACACACCTATACTCTCAGTATCCCACAGATAGAGGCAGGAGCATATTGACTTTGAGGCCACCCAGGGTTACATGGACAGCTCATAGCCTGTCTGACATACATAGCCAGATCTTAAATTTAATGTTAATAACATAACTAGACTCAGTAGAGAAGGACATGTGGATATAAGAAATACACTTATGCTCAAGAAGATTCTGAGCTTAAGCCAAGGGAACAAAAAAGTTCTATTTTTTGAATGAATTGGGGAAATGATTAAAATTTCAACTTCTCAACAAATTAATAACCCTACCAAATCAGTCAATCGCAACAGCATTAGCTGAACTCTTACTGTGTCCTCGTACCTATACATCACTGATCAGAAACAGTTTGGGCCAATTTGTATATGGTAGATAGAGTTAAATAGTGAGATACTTACATCAAATTATGCATAGGCTGTATGTAAGAGATGAGGTCAGGGCCTGATAGACTACCTACCATAGTTAAGAGGCACAGGGATAGCCTATGGGATTAAGTAATGGTCAGTTGTGAAATGGTCAATATAAAGTACAGTTTGAACTCATTAGGTTTGTTTGTTTGTTTGGTTGGTTGGTTGGTTGGTTGATATTTGGTCACCAAGAAGCCAGGATCTCTATCTATAGCCTCAGGTTGGTCTGACACTCACTGCGTAGCTCAAGTTGGCATTTAATCTCACAGATATTCAAGTGCTGAGATTACAGGAATGAGCCTTGACCCTCTGATTATGTTCACATTCTAAATCTTAGATCAGTGGGTGCTGTCTGCCGACCAGGAAGTAGGAAGTGTGTAAAACAGTTGCATTTGCAATGCTGTGGAACGGCAGTTGTCACTGGGGAGAAAGTGGGAAAAGGAGAGGCTGTTGAGGAGAAAACTCAGACTCTGGAAACAATAAACTCAGTCTGTTTGTGCTAATAAGTGACACCTTGGTATGACTGGCCTCTCCATGATTTTGGAAATTCACCGAAAATTAAGCAACTGTCACAGAAGAGGAACTACATATGGAGATATGTCTACAGAAGACTTCTGAATAAAGGTAAAATTTAGTAAAATACACCCCTTCCACACACATCAAAATGTAAGTAACATTAAAAAAAATCTCAAAATACCAATTTCACTCTCTTTTAGTGACTTCATCAGTAGATGGTTTCAGATAGTTTTTAACTTGCAGTTATATCCCATTGGATTAGTCTTTAATGTTTTTAGTAAGATGAGGATCAAGGGAAGTGAAATGATATTTAAACATTTAATGATATTTAAACATCATCAATTAGGTTGCTAAGTTAAGAATCCATTAGAGTGTAGTATGGGCCTCATTGCTGTATGCTCAT